TTTCCCAGCCTCCCCCCCCCCCCGCCCCCCCCCCCCACTCCCCCCGGATGGAGGTGAAAAGCCTACGCCGCTGCAAAACAGTTACTCTATGTGTGAGAAGGCCTTCATAGTCACGATTAACTCTAACACCCACTGTATACATCTGTGTCTTTGTTCTTTTTATTTCTATACAGAATGGCTGGAGAAGACGAGAAGACATTCATATCTGGGACAACCACGGCGTGGCTCACGTCAAGCGTTGGAAACAGCACGACAACTCGGGAGCCACAGACACAGCGATGGAAACCGGCATCTCGCATTGTTGCTGAACCTTGAGGGGACTCCCTTGTTCGTTTCTTTGTTGTCTTTTATCTTTTTGATTTAACGAAAGAAGGTTTTGTTACCGCTTCGTGTCATCACACGCTCATTGTTTATATCTTAACCCACAAAAGAACTGCCAGGTGTTTGTGACGTTTAAACCATCTGAGCTATTTTATGTAAACATAATCACGAAATCGTTTTATTTATTCCTATATTTCCCGCGATGATAGTGGAAAGCAAACGTGAACGTGATAACATCGTCACAGGTCAATTAACGAGGTTTAATACGTATTTATTTTTCCAGTGCGTTTAAGGCAGCAAAAAGAAAAAAAAGGAATGGAGGAAGACAATTACGTATAACGTTTCCTCACAACGTAAACACGCACTAGTTGCACATTCTGGCTTCTGTTTGAGTTTGAAGGCTTAACGACATTTGAGAACAAATAAAGAGTTCGTCGCGCTCGTCTGTTGCGAGTTTCCGAGATTCGGGCGCTTTGATCTACTATAGTGGCGTTGTATATTTATACATTACCTTCGAGATGTATCTGCGAATATTAAAACACTGTTGAGTCTTATCGGCGTTTCTCCGGCTCTTCAATCTGATTTTTGATGACTCGAGTCACATGCTCAGCTTAAGAGGGCGTGGCTTACTATGTTCGCGCATCGTGCGGGGCTATATAGACCAGCGTCCGAAATTCTAGCCCCAGCGATAAAAATGGGAAATAATGATCTACAACGCAGGCTGTTGTCAAGAGGGGGCTGCACATTAAACAAGCTTCTCTCCTTTTTAAAGCACTCTTGGCATCGGTGTTGGTCTTGGAGCTTCGTGACTATGCATTTCTGTCGTTCTTTCAATACGCACTGTGCAAAAAATTTAAAAAAAAAACGAAGTCTTTAAGAAAGCGCAGCCCCCCCATACTGTGTGATGGCGTCAGCATAAACAAACATGGCGGCACCCATAGAAAAGAGCAGGCACTGGTCTATAAGCTCGTCTTAGTCCTTACCGTCAAGTACCACAACCTCATTGGCTGGGTAGAGATAAAAAGGTGGCTCTCGTTTGCCCGGTGTTTCTCAATTTTCCGGCGACGATAAACTTTTTAACTCTGTCCCATTGCAAAGTGCGTTTATTTCCTTAGTCATGGTCACGGTGTAAGACCTACATATATAATGTATATCATCCAAAATAGGGAAATGAATGAATTCTACTTGATCGAATAAATCTTATCGACGTTTGTAAACCGCTGAAGGTCAAAATGAACGGCGAGAGTAGGGATTCATATCCCTATATACTCTTGATCGTCAGACTAAGGCTGCCACATCGGTCACGTCAAACGAATCAAACCCCTTTTACAACCAATTTCAAGGTTCGTGTCGGTTTCCGAGTCCGTGGGCACCGGTGAAGGCGTATAGCTACAGTTCGTGAGGGTCAAAGCGGTTCGCCTTCCAAGACGTGTATGTGTTCCATACCAGACTTACACAATTCGCGTACAAGGGTCGGTACGGTAGCGGTACGTATCGAAAGTTGATGATCTGAGCCGCCGGCCACAGCTTGTAGAAGGTCTTCATGATGGTCGAGTACTTTTCGCGGATGGTCCGTTCGATGTCCGCCAGGTTCCTTCCTTGGAGGACGCCCAGAACCCCGAGGAAGCCGAGCACTGAAACCGGAGCGAATACGAGCTGGTCCAGGGCCAATTTCTTGATCGTAGCTATGAGTCCGGTGGTCCTCACGAGGCGCTTGTCCATCAGGATTAACCAGGTGCGCTGCGTTGGTCCGCTGTACGCGAGTCCCACGAGGAAGAACCTGACGGCTCGCTGGACGTCCATGCTGTCCCTCCGTTCCACGAGCTTCTGGGTCATCAGGTAGCTGGAAAGCATGATTGTGGCGGTGGTTAGGATTTGCGTTTTGGCCGGATGCGTTCGAAGTAGCCTGTCGTAGACTTTGAAGAGAGATTTCATTCCGACAGGCCACAGCGCGGCCTTTTGCCTCCCTACGCCAAGCAGTAAGCGCGACACGCGTGGAGTGATTACACATACGCGCGTAGATAGCACAGCTGCATCCTGTGACACGGTCATGTGGAGGTTGTCCTCGAGCGCAATTAGGTCGCGGTAAGGATAGAAACTGAGGGAGAGAAGGGGACGACAGCACGCGGGGAAGTGAGAATGCCGAGCTCTTTTTGGACTAATTTGTGTGTAGACGTAAAGGCTGGCCGCCATTTTTGCCTCCATTCACTGTTCAAACCCGTTCGAACGCCTGATGTTCGCGTTACCCGTTCGAACGCGTCCGGACAGCGAGAAGGTACAGAGGCGGCTAGTCCTTGCGTCTACCGACCACAGTCACTGGCACCTCAAGATGCGTGGGGCGTGAGTCTTCTCTTCCCTCGCTTCGTGATTGGTTGTTCGGCGTTCGTGTCGGCCAATGCCGCAATCTCGTTGGCTCGGGAGCGATAATGAAATGCGCGCGACTCGCCACGTGCTGGGCTATATAGACCAGTGCCCGAAATCCTAGCTCCCAGCGATAAAATGAGAAATAATAATCTTAAACACGGGCTCTCGTGAAGAGAGGGCCTGCACCTTAAACAAGGTTTTGCTTTTTAGAGCACCCTTGGCATCGGTGTTGTTGTTTGAGTTTCATGACTAAGCATTTCTGAGATTCTTGCATCACACAACGTGCAAAAGATTAAAAAGAAAACTAAAAAAAAAGCAACGGAGCTAGTCTTGCAAAAAGAGCAGCCTTTATGCTGTGTGATGGCGTCAGCATTAACAAACATGGCGGCGCCTATGGAAAAGTGCAGACACTCGTCTATAAGCTCTTCGGAGTTCGTATCGTCAAATGTCACACTCCCATTTGCTGGGTAGATATAAGAAGGTGGCTTTCCTCGCCCTGTGTTTCTCAATTCGCCGGCGACGATAACGTTTTACCTCTGTCCCATTGGGAAGTGTGTTTATTTCCTTAAGGGCGAGACACATGGACGGCAGAATCGTCCGATCCGACGTCCGCCCCGACAGTCCGAACGCCGCTCCGAATCGCCGCACGCGACAGTTTGAGACACAAGCTTCCGCCCTTGCATGCGACACGACGATCCGTTCGGCTGCGCCCAGGAGATCCATGCGCCCCAGCGGAGGTCCACGTTCACAGATCTCTGGTCCCAGATTGAAGGCTTAGCTCAGACGAGCGAAGTTAGAAGCTCGTTCTCGTTAGGGCGTGCATTCTTTGCCGGGGCCATCTTTCTCAAATGGGTCAGCGGGGTCCACGCGTCCGGCTTCCGGCGCCCGTCCCATCTTCTTGTTCGTCCCGACAGACCCAGTACGTCATCATGACGTTCGCGCTAGCTGTGCTGTCATTGGCTGGACGCATCCGACAATCCGTCCGCCGTGCGAAACTAACTGGCGCGTTGGGCGCATGTCACATCGCCGATCCGACGTCTGAAGCGACCAAACTTTTCGGATCAGGTAGTCGTACTGCCGGATCGGATGTCGGATGGGATGGATTTTTTCGCGCATGTGTCTCGCGCTTCAGTCATGGTCACGGTGTAAGATATGCATATGTCAAGTATATAATCCAAAATATGCAAATGAATGAGTCGTGCTTGATCGAATAAATCCAGGTTTTAAACAGCCGAAAGTCAGAATGAACGGCGGGAGTAGGGATTCATATCTCTACCCCTGATCGCCAGACATAAGGCTGCCACATCGATCACGTCAACCGAATCAATCGCCTTTTACAAGACATTTTAAGGTTTTGCGTCGCTTTCTGGAGCCTGGAGGCACCGGTGAAGGAGCATAGCTACAGCTCTTGAGGGTCAAAGCGGTTCGTTTTCCAAGACGTGTACGTACTCCAGGCCAGGCCTACACAATTCCTGTACAAGAGACAGTACGGTAGCAGTAGTTAGAGCTGCTGCGGGTTTCGTCGCGAAAGACGCGTCTTTGAAGAACGATGCGGTGCCGTCGTTGTTCGCGTGTACCGTCCGCCGGCTGCTCCAGCACGAGCGGCCGGTCGCAGCAGGTCACAGCAGCTCTAACTAGCGCACACATGAGGGCACCTGAGCTTTAACAACATAGACAGCTTGTGGATACCATCTGTCCATCTGTCTCCCATTATTTCTTTTTCTCCTCGTCCGCGAGCAAGAAACAAATACAGTCACGCCACCCGCACTGACCGCGTCATATTAATTACAGCAGTCAGATTCACTTTTCGGCCGGCAAACTTATAAATACACACTGAAACGGACTACATTTGATACATACTTACGAACTGCAGCGGTAAAGAAGCAAATGTGCAACTTACCTTCTGTTTTGAAACTCCGCGCGCGACTGAGCCGGCCGTGTCAGTGCGTCGGCTCAGAAGCGCGAGAAGCTGCTCGAGCCGGTAGTTTCGGTTTCGCCTTGCCGCGGAACGAAACTTGGATACGCGATATCTACAATACTATACACACTACCGAAAAACAAATTATATCTCGTAATTCAGGGTCGCCCACTTCGACTCAACAGAACATAAAACAAAAACCGTAAAAAGTGAGTGGAGTTGCCCTTAAAGATTTTTGCCGGAGTTGTGTAGCCTCCCTATTTTTGTAGTATCCTTTTTTGGACAGGCCTTAACCGGATGCAGCTGTGCTAGCTACGCGCATCTGTGCAGCCATTCTACATCTGTCGCGCTTACTGCTTGACGTATACAGAGGCAAAAAGTCGCAGCGCCAGCCGGAATGAAATCTCTCTTCAGAATCTACGACAGGCTACTTCAAACGCATCCGGCCAAAACGCAAATCCTAACCACAGCCACCGTGATGCTCTCAAGCGACCTGATGACCCAGAAGCTCGTGGAACGGAGGGACAGCATCGACGCCCAGCGAGCCGTCAGGTTCTTCCTCGTGGGACTCGCGTACAGCGGACCGACTCAACGCACCTGGTTAATCCTGGTGGACAAGCGCCTCGTGCGGAGCACCGGACCCATAGCCACGGTCAAGAAAGTGGTCCTGGGTCAGCTCGTATTTTCTCCGGTTTCCGTGTTCGGTTTCCTTGTGTTTCTGGGTGTCCTCCAGGGAAGGACTAGGGTGGACATCGAACGGAACATCCGCGAAAAGTACTCTACCATCATGAAGACCTTCTACAAGCTCTGGCCGGTGGCACAGGTCATCAACTTTCAATACGTACCGCCACCGTACCGTCTCTTGTACATGAATTGTGTAAGTTTGGTCTGGCACACGTACATGTCTTGGAAGGCGAACCGCTTTAACCCTCACGAACTGTAGCTACACGCCTTCACCGGTGCATCCAGCCTTCAGAAAGCGACATAAACCTTCAAATTTCTTGTAAAAGGGGTTTCACTCGGCTGACGGGGCCAATGTGGTAGCCGTATGTCTGGCGATTAGGAGTATAGATTTGCGGAAGAAGTTGGGCATTGAATCGGACGCGGACATTTAATATTTCGGGATACATTTTTCACCGCGTCTGACTTGATGAAGTGGTAAAAATATTAAGACGACTTTACCAGGTGAATACTAAAGATGACGGTGGTGGGCGTCGTACCTTTTATTGGACAACGCTTGTTGCGGAAATGTCCATGCTTGGGCCATCAGGCCAGAAACTCCAAAACTTTGGATGTAGCTCGCAACATTAGATTGCCATCAAGAAAGTCACGGGAAAATTGCATCGAGGGTGGATGATGGTTGTTTTCATAAATCAGATGGAGAGAGATTAACCTCGGTTGTTGAGTGGATGGCAGTGCTGTAAGCCAAAGTAGTCTGGCTTCAAATAGACGTGGTCACGCTAGAGCGAGGGGACAAATAGGACGGACGGACATGAAGCTCCGTGCTTGTCCGTCCCTTTTTGTCCCATCGCTCCAGAAGTACCGTGTTTTCCCTTAACCATGTCGCCTGCCTACTTGCTTTGGCTTCAATTGACGTCCAACGAAATGACGGAAGTAGTCATGCTGGTCTAAAAACTTCGAAAATAATTTGCTGCAAGCCTCAGAATGACAGACGACGTTTCGCTAAGAGAGTGAGCCTCCTGAGAGAGTCAAACTATCTTTTTGGTCAGATCACTGGCCATATTGTCACGAATGGCAGACGATGAGGCGGGAGAAAGCTCAACGAACTAAAGATTTGTTGGGGGCGAACTTGAGACGAAACAACAGTTACAGTAAGTGGGCGTCGCGGGCGTCGATGTCGGCGTAGCAGCATGATCGAGAGTGGGGAAAGACTAACTTGAAGCAACTCGCTGCGGCTGCTTTTATCGCCGATTTGTGTTCCAGCATGTTCTAAACCAGAAGACATAACAAATTACTGCAGCGATCTGGAACCTTCAAGAGGAGAAACCAAAAGGAAAACTAAACATCAAACATCACTGGCGGGATTTGATCCCGGATGATCCGTTTGGGAGTCGCGCGCACTGCCTACTCGGTCACCGCACCGGGCATTGCTCCCCCCTTTAAGACACAAGAAAAACGGATCGCCCCGATGCAACAAAGAAAAGAAGAAAGAAACAACATTAATAACAACAACCGTGATTCCTAAAGAATCAAAACAGAATTCATAGTACGGCTTGAGGCGAACGATGTGAATGACCTCGGGTCGCGGTGGGTGGCGTGTTGAAGGACGCGTTCAGTCGGGTAGCACTTAGTAGTTCGAATCCCCAAGGCAGCGAAGAATCTTGTGTAATGTCCAGAATAGCGTTTCAGGAGCTTCTCGCCGAGACCACGGCACCCGTATCGGTGTCCACACCCATACCCGGTCACGTGCTTGAAAGTGGACATAGCGGCGACGAAGGTTGTACCGGTGTGCGTAGACTCACAGTTGACCTTGAATCCTGACCAATGCAAGCTGACGAGACTCCTCGGCACGCTGAGAGATCAGTTGAATGTCGTCGTTGCCATCGTCGGTTGGCGCGCGAGGCAGCATGGTGTCGAGCATGGTGATAAATCTTCGGCCGTGCACCAGATGGGATGGCGTCATCCCCGTGGCTCCTTGAACCGCATCGCTGTACGGAAACGAAACATACGGCAGAGCTTCATCCCGCGCTTTGTGTTTCGCGTCTACGAACATGGCGATAATGTCAGCGACCGTCCTGTTAATTAAGTCAGTCAGTCAAACCATTCATCCGCGGATGGTATGCGGTTGTCCTGCGATGGCTCGTATGACTTATACCCCAATTATTCTAGCACTCTTAACTGCCATTAAGCCAAAGCCAGTTGACTTAATCGCGATCGGCAGGGCGGCCGGGGTTACAAGGCGGCGCCAACTGTCATTGAGCCGCTAACGATTATTGAGTTCAACTGAACTGGCCTACCTCAATTAACTTATGGTGGTTTGCTGCAGTATACTAAAGATGGCGGCGTCCGCCTCATTGGCGCCCATGGCCAGCATCAGCGAAGCCCTTACTATTGCAAACGTTTGAGAGAGGTATATAGAGAGTATCGTGCCGCAAATATTGTCGGAAGAGGTATGATTCGGGAGCAAGAGCTGCCGCTAGAGCGGTCACGGCGCGTCGTGGAAGCCAAAGCTCGGCGAGGGCGGCCATGGTGATGTCGGTGCCGATATGACTTTCGTTGTGTCTCTCTTGCTTGTATTCGTGTGAAACGTTCCGATTATCATTTCTTTACCCTGAAAAAAAAAAAGTTTGCTTTGTTTTGTCTTAAATGTTATAATGATCGAAAAACGTGCATATAAATCATTTGCTTTACTTTTAAAAGAAAAAATAATGTGACATCAGTTTTTGGTTTCCTTTCGGTATCATATTTTCTCTTCTCCTTTTACTGCCCTCTCCCGCTGCCGCGGAGGGGCGTGGTTTCTATGTAATTTGAAATGCGTTTTTCTGGATGATAAGGGCATGAAATATTCTACTTTCGTGATATTCCTAAAGCTTGATGTCGGATTAAAACAAATCGAGTGTTTTTAATCATATTCAAAACCGTTTCAGCTTTCCCTTAACTAGTGGCATGTACACTCGATAGCAATTCCTGGAACGGAGATACCAGCGCTAACCCAAATTAAAAAAAAAAAAAAAAAAAACGATAACGGGGTGTTTTGTCGCTATCTGCCGGGATGCAAAGCGGATGCCCTGCGGGGCTTTCCCGCCGAATAGCACCTCAACTCACGGCGATGTGTGATGACATGCCACGCAATGAAAAAAAAAAAAACAAAGTGTCGTGACATGCTGGGAAGACACTCGCTTAATAATATAAATGGTCTGGGTTCGATTCCCACCTGGCGCAAACGCTTTTTTACAGCGCAGTGTCGATCCTCGTGGCCACGCTTTTATCTAGGCTTCATTTTTGGGCGCTTCACGAAATGCCTAACATATAGACAAAAAAGCGTTCCACATTACCAAAGGGTTTTCCGTCTTTATTGTAGATTCTTTTCTAGTTGAAGTGGGGAACTTGGAACGCGTCTCTGACTGGTGTGTTTACACACTGCCGTTTTTGGTCCGTCGAGTTCCTTTTGTTGACGTCACACAAGCATCATGATGTCGCCTGTCGCAATCCTTGCGGCGGCACGGCGGCCGAAGTAAATATGGCAGACGCCCGTTCTACTGTAGATCGCTTTTCTGCTTTATACTCCACGAAAACTTTGGCAGTGACAAGTTGTGACGCCGCGACGACGAGAGCGACACTTGCGTTGACTCGCCTGTTTCGGCAACCCTTACACCACCACCCGTCAGGATCGCGACATCTGACAGCATGACAGATTAGATCTTGTGACGTACCATCTCGCCATTTCCGGGTCTCTTTTCAATGCATACGACTCTAAACAAACCGATCGAAGCGGCGTTGCAGCCATCGTCGGTAAAACGCAGCGCCTCACTCTCTTGAGACAGTATGGCCCATACAGTGCAACTGCTATAGGCTCATTGGTGTGTATCACGCAGTAGCAAAACTACATAAACACACGCCGAGTATAATGCGCGTTTATATCAAAATATACTGATGGTAATTAAGAGCTGCGAGATGCAGCGCACTAGTACGTGCACACACGGTCACCGATCCCAGCGACGCCGAGCCTCCAATGCACCATGCTGTCGATTTTGGTCTTCTGGTAAGTTCGCCACTCTGCATCAACTTATTTAGCTACTTGGCAAATAGAACGCGAAACTGCCTAATAGAACCTGAAAGCACGTGCTAGAAAAAGCAAACAGGCAGTATTAATCCGAAGTCAATTCATCATCTTGCTGGCCCCACTTGAGCTGTGAACGTACTTAATAAATACCTGCCTAAAAAGGAAAAACGTTAGTGGTCTGAATAAGCACACACGAAGGAAATGCTATTCACGTTTCCTGTAGCAGGAGGCAGTAATAGAAATAGGTGCGTAAGTAAATGCCACCTTTTATCTTAACACACAAAAAAGGAAATGCTTCACCAGGCACGGTTTCTGAGCTCACACTTAAGCACACGAGTCTTGCTGGCAACGAAAGATAATATATTCATTGCAACCGTTTCGTCTACCTTAGATAGCGGGTAGGGGGTGTCACTTACTATAAAAATACATTTTAGAAGTGCTGTTTTTATATTTGCTATAAATAAGGTTACTGATCGCCAGAGACTTCAATTTCGATTATTCGTGACCCTATACGTGGGCACGTAATAGACCGATCTCATCGGCCGGTTTGACTACGCTGCCGCAATGCTTTGAGGAAACTTTAGTCTTTCCGCACGTGCCCGAGCCTCGATCGCTGGAACTGTGCGCTTGAAGAGCACGAGGCGGGACGAACCGTCTCAGGCACTGCTGCCTGCCTCTTGTGAACTAAACTTACGGCGGCTTCACGTATGCGCCCAGCATTTGGTGAAAGCGGTCTATATTACCTCGAAGAATTTAATCGTTTAGACTCAACTTAAGATAGCTTTCTTGAGTTCTACTTTGTTTATATACCAGCTAAAAACTATAAAACCGCGCTTTAACTAATTTTATATTCAGACCTGTACCTTGAAGACCGACGACCAGTTCGCGCTTTCCACTTTTTCCCCACTTCCTCCTCTCCCCCCTTGTACCCTGTCCACCGTTGCCTGTTTCCTCCTCCCCCAGGGCGAGGAGGATCTTCTGCCTTGCAGAATCTCTTGTCTGCTAATCGCTCACCGCTCCCCACAGAGGCGGAGAACCAACGCCGTCTCAACTCGGAGATGGATCTGTTTTGACAATTTCCTGGGTGCCTCGCCTGAAGTTTTTTCTTCTTCTTTGTTTTAATTTGTTTTGTATGGTGATTTAATTTTGTAAATTTCTCAGTTATTGCGTCACGTGCATTTTATCTGTTACTCAATATA